TATATAAAATAGGAAATATATAAAATAATTAAATGGTTACTTATTTTATAGCAGCAAATATTTACTTGCCAGAAAAAGAAATCTTCCTACATGTAGTTAATAAGTCACTCTGTTACTATACAACTAGAGGTCTCCATGATCACCACTATTGATTTCCACTGCCTGATTTCAGTGCAAGGTCCCCTTGAGCAAGATCTCACCCAGCAGGAGACCCCTCGGTGTGGTTCCCAGCTCTCTGTGCAAATTAGGTTAACAGTCCAGATGACAATGCCATCCAGGGGTTACACAAGCAGAAAGAATCCTCACACAGGTAAGATATCTGAACACAAAACTGGTGTGTGAGTTCAGAAAGAAGGACCACACGGAGTCCTGGAGACAGTCAAAGTTGTATTTGTAGTGAAAGCAAAATTTGCAGCATTGGGTGAGAGGGGCAAGAAGTCCTGAAGGCGGAAGTAGGATCACAGGGGCAGGAACTCATAGAGGGTACTTGAGAGCCGTGCTGGACTGGGGTGGGATTTAGATCTGTCAAGATCAGGGGGGCAGCATTCAAGAAAGGTGTTATGGTTACTGACACAGAAGTCATTTTTGGAGATGTTGGCTTTGGAGGGTGAGGTCCTTGGGTTCACTCTGGGGAAATTTCCCCAGGAGGCTCCCCTTTTAGAGACAGTGGCAAGTTTCCCATGAGGCAGAGATGTTATCCAGAAGGCCAAGTTTATTATGAAAAGGGAGGGAAGGAAAAGGACACTTGTATAGACACAAGTGGGCAGAAAGAGCTGCCCCCAAACAGGACAGGTTGCTAAAGGAAAGCCCTCTTGGCCACAGGCGGGCGACCCTGGGAAGCGGGCCACTCTGTTGAGGGGGTCAGCAAAGAGACCTGTGCCCCAGCATGGTACAGGTCACAGGCAGGCAGGAGGCTGCTGCCCTGCGGAGGGAAAAGGCTGGTGAAAAGAAGTTCCTGCATAGTCACAGGTGGGCAGAAAGACTGCTGCCCCTGCCAGAGCAGAGATTGGAAGGGGCTCATTCCCTCATGGGATTGTTAACTCCTGTTAAAGGAATTCTCTTTAGGGTTGGCCCTAGGGATTCTTTCTCTATTGCTTCAACTAGGTCAACTGGGAATGACCAGTGATTCTTTTAGTGTCCCCCCCATCATCTCCATGTCCCATCGCCAGTCTGTGCCTCAGTAGTCTTTACTTGTCTATATAGCTTGTTAATGGCTGTTAATTATTTTTACCCCTATCTCCAGATTCTGGCCTTGGGATGCCTCCTTTCCAACTTTTCTATTCTTTTTTTTTTTCTAAAAAAATATATATTTGTTTATGCATACAAGATCTGGGGTGCAGGCTAGAGGTGCAGTGAGTGAAAAGATTCATCAGAGACAGAGAGGGGAGCAGAGCAGGCAGATCAACAAAGTACACTGCTGAGGGGAGCAGCAGTGAGACAGGAGAGGTCTGCTGTGCCATGTGGTCACCTCCCTGGCCAGGGATCAAACTCATGCTGCAGTGGCTGCGGGCAGCTTCATAGTGCTGAGATGTACCACCCCCCACCTCCCCCCCCCCCCCCCCCAGTGTTTGCCCCTCCAACTCTCCTAGTCTTATCCTCCATCAAACCACCAACGTGAAGTCAAATCTGACCAAGCCTCATGCTGGTTTTGGGCCTTTGGAAAAAAACTTAGTATTTTGGATCTCTAATTGCATCGTTATAAAATGGTTATAAAATAGTTTTGTTTAGTGGCATGTGGCTCAGTGGGAGATTAATGCAGAACATGTGATCACGGTAGATGGGAGGGAAGTATGGGAAATTGTTAAGATGTTCTTCAGTCACGCAGATGAGAGGTAATGAGGGCAAGGGATAATGCCCAAGCAGAGTATCTTGGAATTATGCCAGTGGGGTGGCTACACAGACCCTAGGCAACAGGGTACCTGCAGCCTAAGATTCTGAGAACACAATGTAAAGTGTTCTGGGAATGTTGCCGGCCCCTTGAGGCCCCCCCATGCCCTCCCAAAACCACCCGCAGCCTGTGTTCTAGCAGACAGAGAGCAAAGCCTTCTGCCAGACTTGAAGGCTGTGAAGCAGCAATGTCAAAGCCATGAGGAGCCAAATAAAGATTTTGCCCGCACAGCGGCCCTTCAGACCCGCAGCCCTGAAACCGCAGGCTTTGCCCCCTGTGTTTGACGGCATCAGCAGACCTTAGGGCAAAGTGGCTTAGGCCCCAAACCACAGAATAATTCCATTTCTGACATCAGTGCCTCATTGCTCTAGGCTATGTTACAGGGTGGTCCCCAGGAAAAGGGGAAGTTCCAGGTTCCCTGCCCCACTCAGGAGGAGGGTGGAGCTAAGCAGAGAAGAGAAGGAAGCAGGATGGAGAGCCTAAAGGTGACCAGAGGAAGCCACATGGTGCAGAGAGTCATGTGAAGAAGCTGCATTTGATTCTTGGCCCTGGACTGGCTGAAACAGATGTGGGTGAGAGACCTGTGGGGAAGTTGACTATAGCAGTGTTTTATCTTGATGCTGATTTTGCTCTTTTCCTCCCAGATTCATCTGGCCATGTCTGACCCTTTTCTATGGGTCCTGGCCAGAAGGTGCTTTAGGCTTGTGGCGGGCCTTCAGGCCTCGCTTGGGGCCAATCCCTTTTGGGTGGACTTTTATCCACGAGGGGATGGGTAACTTTGGGTGTTTGATTTAGAAACTATATTCTTTGTATTTTCTGTATTGCACACTCATTGTATTAAAGTTCCTTTCCATGAAAGCTCTTGTCTTGTCTTGATGTGGCGGATGGCAGAAACTATTTAGAGCAGGCAGGTTTGGGGATTCAGAGGTGCCCCTCTCTCCTTGCCCTGTAACAGCTATATGAGCTAAATGCAAACCTGTCTTGTTGGCACAGTTCCCACAGAATGAACTATCAGACAGCTTCCCCAGGCTTCAAGCCTCACTGCCATTATCTGGTCGCGTCCCTGTTTAACTACAGCTCAAACTTTTGCTCCAGCCTACAGAGCCTTAGAATGGAGGCCCACGAGAGAACAGACAGATGCAGCTGGGGGCTCTGAAGCTTGGTGCCCAGGTACCCCATCCCATACCTAGAGCGGACCAGTGGTGGATAGAAGGGGGTAGGGGTTAGTAGGAAATTCTCCACCGCAGCTTAGATCTAACGCTTGGGAGAATCAGCTTCCAACCACCTCGAGCCAGATGGCCAGACTCGGCAAGGTCAGGGGGCGGCGGAGCAGGAGTGTCCCGGAGGGTGGCCTGGAGGCGCCGGAGCACAGGCCTGCCTC